GAGATCTACAGTCAGGAGTGTCAATGTATGAACTATATTCTAATATAAGGAAGGCGTGTGGCGCAGTGGATAGAGCCATGTCGTTGTGACACTTCACCCCAAATTGCTCCTGGGGATTGTCCACAGTATTGAGTATGTAAGTCGCTTTGGATAAAAGCGTCTAATAATAAGTAACATGTAATGTAATATAAATCATATTAAATACAGAATATTTCAAACTGAGTTATATGAAAAAAAGCTACTAAGTATTTGCAACCCCTTTGAGTGCAAGCAAAAGGCATCTACTTTTTTTTCCTTTCATTCCTTTGTATGACCTGTCAGCTGAGCACTGGGGGGGGGGGGGGGGGGGGGGATTTAAACGTAACAGACACAGCTGACAGTGATTGAACAGATAAATAGAAAAATATCATCAGTCATCTTTTCGTTTGGTTGCCTGAAGGATACTTTACTTATCCTGTCGTTAAAAAACAAACGGTCTGGTGTAGTATAACTGAGAAAAGACATATTGTGGAAAAAGGCTACAGCCGAAAAATGCGGCCGAAATGCTTCTACTTTTGTTGTCATAGTTCTCCTCTTAGTCAGAGAACGGCATGCACACACAGACCACACAAACCCTGCTGCAACAAGAACTGGAAGCTTAATCAGTTCAAGAGATCTTCAAGACATACTTTGTAACCGCTGCAAATAAATGTCCCTCGGGATGAATAACTTTAGATACCCTCTTATATACCTCCTTGTGTTATGTTCACATTTCGCACCCTTTGGTAATGTTCGGGTCAAATTGACCCGGGACATATTTCAGGGTTTAAAAAAAATACAGAACTAAATTCAACATGCACAATTCCTTATATACAGGGCTGCACATAACTGGTGCGCAGGTGCGCATGCGCACCTACGCCAAAAAAAGAGCACCGGGTCATTTGAAACAAAGCGCATTTGCGTACCAACATTGAGAGAGGGAGAGAGGGAGAGAGAGAAAGATATTTGCGAGTTGCATATGAACCATGATATGAACTCAGGGCCGGCCCGTAGCGCTGGCTAGATGTTCGCCTAGGGCGCCAGATCTGGGGAGGTGCTGCGCTGGCAGCTCTGGGAGGGAAAAAAACATTTTGACCGTTGGGGCTCATCCTAATTTTCGGCCTTGATGTAACAATATTCATAATTAAGTAAATGTAACACCCTTTTCACCCCGGTTACACGTTTCATTTGCCCTGTACGATGGGCGCTGTAAGTGATGAAAATGGGGGATGTTGGCTTATCTGGCGCCCGCAGCTCACAGACAAAATGCGAGGGAGAGAGGGAGAGAGAGGGAGGGTGCACCGGTACCAGTGCTGTTGTTATTAGGATCTGGTGCCGTGCTAGCTGCTCTAACGGATATAAGAAGAAGATGTTTCTACAATAATGTGGAGGGAGAGTCCTCTCCAGTCAGACTGAGAGGCTAATACGTTAACTACAGCTCAGTGAGGTAAAGTACTCAGAGTGTTTAGATAGTTCACTTTAGTCTAAGTTCAAACGGTTTGGTCACAATTTATGTAAACACATATTTCCAAGGCACTCCTTTATAATTATTGGGATAAACAGGTTTGAAATCATTCCAATGTATACTATGGCCAGTAACCAAAAATATAATTTAAAACTGGAGATTAAAAAAAATGCATAAATAAATAAATGTTAAGGTAAAATAAGATATGAACAACACAAATAAAACAAGTTACATTCATTTGTTATTGGCTATGGTAGGTTATTGGTTATGTTCACATACGTATTTGATTACATCCACTTGTCTAAGATGACAACAGAGACTTTCGACCCAAAACCAGCTGTTGACTTGTGGATGCAAGCAGCTAATCGCAGACTCAACCAGAGAGAAAGAAGTAGGCCTACATCATCAGCTACCATGTCTGACAGTCAGGAGGGTAGTGATGACAGCTTGTAGGATTACTGGTCGTGCTAATGTTGTCTTGTGTTCACCTCTGCATGTGTGTTTAGTGCCGTGTGTCTGGCAAATAAAGTCCAGCCCCCCTCAAAAGTTACGGTTTATTTCATTTTAAGGATGAGCACCAAGCAACATCTCCAGGTGCTCCTTTGAGAACCAGGGCAAAAAAGTTATGTGCACCCCTGCTTATATATATTGTCTTTAACTCATTCCCCAACAATATAAATGAAATATATGATTAGTTTTTTTAAATACTCTTTGCTAGATCAAATTTAACAATGGAAGTGTCCATCGTTTTTTGGGATAAAAATTTAATTTATGTTAAAAAAAAATACTGTAATAAAAACTAGGTTTACATTTTGCTCATGCTTTTCTAGGACAAATGTAAATGAACATTTGTTTCATTAAAGGGATAGTGGAAATGGAACCTCAAATATATACAAGCATAATTACGTACCAAAACAATCACACCTGATTAAAAAAATATAATAATTGCCTTACGCATGTTAGAAGCACTTTATTGCAGCTTCCCCGAAGTTTTTTAGAAACGAAATGTTCGACTCAGCCAAACCGGAAGTGACGAAAACTTAGGAAGACGATACGATAACAAACCATGGAGTCTATGCAGAATGAACGTGGAAGGGCAAATATACCAGACAAAGAAGAAGGATTGTACGAGGTATCCAGTGATGATAGCGAGTCAGAAACATCCTCTCGGCTTTCCTACGAAAATGTCGTTTTAGGAACTGAATCTGAATCCGGTTCAGTAAGCGACGATGGTGACAATATTGAGCCAGACGATGGACCATTACGTCCTTATTTGTTCGAGCCCGAGGTGATGGTTCACGGCATGGGCAATGGCGAGGATGACCAGGAGCCAGATGATGCACCCCTACGCACAAATAATCTTGACTGGTAGGTCCCCAAGCATAGCTCACGCATCTTAAGATCACCTGTAGCCTTTACAAATATTAATCATTGTTAACCAGTTAAGCCCGAAGGTCCCCCCAGTGGACCCCTCCCACAGTTTTTTTTCTCTCACATGTCTCAGGGCTTCTTAACATTTATGAAACTATTAATGTTTCATACCCTTTTGAAAGGTAAGAAACTCCGCTAACTGACAATAAGAACAATTGTTAGCTAGAAAAAACACAAGAGTAATACCAAGCCTTTGAATTAGCATTGAGCGAAACAATGCTAACTAATGCTAACGCTTTTTTACACACAACACACGGTAGAAATGCCCTTATTACTATCTTAACTGCACAAACAAGATATACGATTTAAAGCTGAGACTCCACAGGTGTAATGTCATCACTGTAAGACCTCGAATTCCTATAGCTATCAGCCAGAAAAGAGAAAGTAAACAACATCCGGTTCCAAAAATATTACAATAATTACGTCTTACCTTTTTTGATTTGTGATCAAAAGTTGTGTTCAACGGAATAAAAACGCATCTCAAGGTTAATCCAATGTCGTTGTGTCACGTATAATGTTTTACTGATAATCAATCATCATATTTATGGCAATATACTCGGTACCATAATAAAGGTCGGCTATTCACATGCAAATGCTATTGAATGTCCGCCATTGTTTGTGCCCGTCTTCCTATGCTCTCGTCATCACCCGAAGATTCCCGACGATTCCCGAAGTATTTCGTTTCATTGAGAGGGCGCAGTAAAATTGAAAATAAAATGAAACTAGGCGCATGAAATTAAAAAAATGTGTTTATTATGCTTATTTTTAATAAAAATACATAAGTTAAACTCAAAATTCGCGAATTTCCACTATCCCTTTAATGTTTATTATTTTTAATCTGTCATATAATAATCAAAGCCCTGAAGGAAATAAAGCAATTTATCAGCAATTGGAACACAAGAACCACACATCCAAAAGTATTTGGCTGTGAAATATAGAGAGAATGAAACATCCATATAAATGACATAGAACAGATATAAACACAAAGCAAATAAAAACAATTAACAGTCACTATCCGAAAAATATATTGATGAAGTGACGCTGCAGAACATCATGTGAGTCAATGGGCAAGTCCCTTTAGGAAACACATGATGTGCAGAACTTCTTCGTGTGTATAGCACAGATGTACTTGTTGCAGTTGCTGCATGTAGTCTGTGTCTTGGAGTCCTTTGAGGGTCCACAGACCTCACAGCTGGCTGTGGGGGTCTTCCAGCAGCTGGCTCTGAGTCAAGTTCATCTTCCAATTTGCTGTCTAATTCTGAGTTTACCTCCACATTATCCTCATCTTCAGAAATGTCTTCCTGTCCCACTTCACCGTGTTCCTCTAATGCATTCCACTCACTCTCATCCATTATTAGCTCCAAGGCTCTGAGCAGAATATCTTTTGGCCATTTTGTTGGTAGATAATTGTAGTTCTGCACTACACTGTTACTACACTGAGGTTATGTCTCTGTTTAGTCCCTCCTCCGGCGTGCAGGTGCGAGGGGGGACAGTGCGAGAAAATGTAAAATGTTTATACATTTCTGGAAGATCTAAAATGTTTATAATGTTCTAGGATAGTTGTGTGTACACACTACAAAGGGTAAAGATCAAGGGAAAACAGGATCAAACAGCTTCTCTATGCATACGATTGTGTGTGTGCGTGTGTGTGTGTCTTTACAGTAGTTTGTGTGTTTCTGTGTGTGTGTGTCTTTAGTTTGTGTGTTTCTGTGTGTTTTTCTCTGTCTCTCTGTCCTGGTATTGTATCCGGGTCAGATTGACCCGAACCTCTTATGAAGGACATAAATGCGGGTGGGCATTTTTTCATAAGTGGAAAAAAATAAAAACAATTCCACATGTCCGTCACTATAAATAAGCCCCGGCCATTGAGTTTCAGGTTGAACGAAAATATCCTTATATTTTTTTTTATTCATTTAAAATGGAAATCGGGTCAATTTGACCCGAACACCACACAAGGGTTAAGAAAAAATAGAGAATGAGGTTTATTCCAAAAGTGCTCACATCGGCTGCACATAATACAAACCTTTTGTTAGCATATTCCATTACTTGAATTTGGTTGTTGAAGAAAAAAACACAACTTACAATGTTGTTTTTCACATGTGGAATTTATTCTCTGTACAGACTGAGCGACAGGAGAAGCTCCGAATTATAAGCCACACACACATTTCTTACTTATTACAAAACACATTCTAAGCAATACTGACATCAATCTTCCCAGAGGCAAAGGAACCTCAGCAGGACTTTGCAACTAAAGCTCAAAACAGTTCACTGCAGTGTGTTGTTGGAGTCATTGGGAATCCCCAAAGAGTTATCTATTATCTTTGCTTCAGACATTTGTTGAGTTGGGTCTGTTAATAGGATTTAAAACTGGTTTCCAGGAAATACATATTTTGTCTTTTGTATTTGGGTTATGAGAAGAGGAATAATCCTTTATGAGTGTTTAGCCAAAGTAGCAAACCTTACATAGGACCGTTTTAGATGAAGATGAATGTTTTTTTTAAATAATAATTGAAATATGTTTTGTGCAACTTCTCCTGCCTGAGGGGGTATAGACAGATCATTATTCATTAGACCTACATTATTATCTCCCTAGAGACTTCTGTTGAATCACACTTTAAAGACTCTTAATGTGTCTAGCTATGCTATCTGTTGATAATTATTAAACTAGACTCCAAAGGGTTTTCAGGGGGATAACCGAGTGGGAATAATGATGGGGTTACATGTTGGGTCTGTGGCACTCCATGAACAGTTTCAGATTCATGTATTATCATTATCATCATATACAAAATATGTTTTAACAGAAGGCTTCATACTTTAACAAATACTATTTAAATGTTTACATCTATACTAGTTCATATCATTCTAAACTAACAGATGTATAACACTTAGTATTTGTTAACATTTTTTAATATGTTATATCTTAAAAATAAATTCCTTGTATGTTATTCGTGAACATAACTAAGACTATAGAAGCTAGAGAACTCCAATTGCTCACTTTAAACAAGAAAAACAGTTCTAAAAAACAAACAACAACAAAACTAATGACAAAGCAAAAGAACAAGGTGTTTAGATTTAGTACTGCAATGTAAAGTAATAGATCTTTTTGAGATTTATGAGTTCATAATTATATTGATATGCTTTCTCGATAAGAGTTAGATGATATGATTGGTACCCCTCTCAAATCTTTGAAATAAATATGAAGCTATCGCCAGGAGCGGCTGTTAACTTAGCGCAAAGGTAACATATTTCCACAACTCTTTATATCTTGTTCGTAAAATCCACACGGAAAACGGTGTAAAATCACAGATTATAGATTTACAGGGCTCATAAACCCAATGTCAATGTGTGAGCTTTAGAGTTGCTTGTGTGAAATGTTGTTACTTTTGGACAGAGGCAGGATAGCTATTTCAAGGAATCGGATAGCTATTGTGAGCTAAGCTGAATGGCTTCTGGTTCCAGCTTTATATTCAAATCACAAACATGAGAGGTATCGATCTTATTATTGACTCTTGGCGAGAAAGCAAACAAGTACATTTCTAAAAAAAGGAAACTTCCTTACATTTTTCAGGCACTTTAGTTGAAAGCTGTTTCCATTTTGTTTTTGTTTAAAAAAATAATGAAATCGAAACAAGTTAACAAAAACGTTGAGTTGAATGTACAAGATTTGATGTGGGTGCCACAGTATCCAAATACAGAAAGTATTTTTCAAAACAGCTTTTCGTATATTCTTCTTATTACTTTCTATTTTTCGGCTGCTCGGTCCTTGAGGCAGCAAAAGATAAGGATAAGAACATTTTAACTGCAGACGGACAACAATGGCATTCATGAATCCAGCTAATCTCTGCATGGCTTTAGAAACTCTGCAGCTCTCAGCCAGAGGAACTGGGTTTCTGCAGCCATGCACTCTTCACCTACCAATCACACACACTCACCCTTTATTTACACAGACAGAAACATATGCAAATTAAATACGCAACACACCAATTATCCAGGAATTTAAAAGCTGTCTTTTTTGTACAATGTATGATTGACTCTTAAAGGCTCTTTCAACAAGGTTGTTACGTTATTAATGTAATTGAATCTCCTTGTTACAAGGGTGTGGCCACACAGTGTCTAAACATGCTGCTTTTCATCTGCGAGCACACACACACAGTAAATACAGGAAAAGAGGAGCAGAGAATTTTAAACCTCATGACACAAATTCAGCTCATTTCGGCCGACAAACCCTTTAAATCTGAATACATGCAGATGAAAGTACTTTGAAGCAATCAAACCTCTCAAGCTCTGTGGTGCTGTTCTGCTCTTCTGTCACTCACTCAGAGAGCTGCATGGACTTGTGCACTGAAGTGGTGTAGTCATTGACAAAAAGTGATTTGTCCAGCCCCAGCTGTGGAACCAACCATACAGAAGAAATCAGTAAGAACGACACACACACACACACACACACACACACACACACACACACACACACACACACACACACACACACACACACACACACACACACACACACACACACACACACACACACACACACACACACACACACACACACACACACACACACACACACACACACACACACACCTTGCTCTACTTCAAATAAAATGTTCAATGTCAGTAACTTAGGGGAGCTAATGATGGTAGTGTTTAACCTCTCTTGTCACTATTTATGTTTCGGCACGTATAAGTTACCGTTTACATTATACATTTAAGCACTTTTGCTCAAGTCACAGACAGACTTGCTAAATATCTTTAATGCGTTCTGTCTGTCCTTCACTCAGTACATTCTTGATGTCACAACCTCTTTTTTTATCTTTCTTCCATCATCCAAAACTAGTCGGCCAGGATTCCAGAGTGAACTGTTTCTGTGTTCACTGAGCTTTTGGGTGTGGCAGGTGGGAAGGGAAAGTGAGTGTGTGTGAGCCAGAGGAGTAATAACAAACACCCACCAGTTTCAACTGGCCCCTCCCTTTTGCCTGTATTAGGCAGTGTGTGCATGTGCTAAGCTTTACCCTGATGCATTGATACAAAAGGTTTGTGTTGTGTTTGCCATAGAATGTCAGAAACACATGCATTTCAGTTCTTATTGAATTACCTTTTTCACGACTCCTTGCAAATTATTATCGCTCCATAAGGTGTAGAGCAACATCGAAGCGGCTCTGCTGCCTTTTGGGAAAGACCTAGGGAAGAAAGGCAGAGATCAGTAGGGAAAGGCAGCAAAGGAAGGAATTTTAAGGAAAATAAGGCATTTCAGGCATACATCTTTTTGAAATAATTTGACAGTGGACAGCTTTTTTGTGTTAAAATAACCTTTTGTTGATCAGCAGCAATAGCAACAATAGTAGATGGTACTACAACAAATATGTCTTGATATCTAACTCACCAACCAACATGGAAATCATTGTTTACTGTGCACTGTCCCTCCTGGGCACAGCGCTAAGTGCCTCGGACAGTCCTTCAAGGGCTAAACCCTGTAACCCGTAAGTATCCATGTCCATTCAAATGCTCAACGTTTTACTGTGATATGTTGTTTCAACAGTTACTTTATCACTTTATTTTTGTATTATTATTTACATGTCCTATTCTATTTTATCATTATTGTTTACCTTGTGTGAATCCTGTTTTTCACTCTGATCCTGTTGTTGGATAATAAAGTTCCATCTTATCTTAACATAACACCTTACATATCCACAGAATATGCTGGTAAGAGTTTGAGAAAAATTATTTGGTAGAAAGTAGTTCCAGGTAAACTGTTGGCAGAGTAACATCATTTCTTTCTCTGGAAAGAGGTGTGCTCTGGTTTTAGTATTTTGTAGTGCTTTGAGCAACCCTCAAAATGTTCCGTTCATTGTCATTGTATAAGGGTGGAGGCATAAAAGTCAGTCAGAAGTGAAAATATGGGCAAATATACTGAATAAATGGTTAGTGAAAATGTTAAAATATGGTTGAAACAACCGTTTAAGGCAAACAAGTTATTTGTGTAAAACCTATGAAACACAACCGCTCCATTGAAGTTTGTCACAGCTATGAAAGCTGAATTTAGCTGAGTTATGAACCAATTAAAACTCACGCGTTCTTGCTGAGGTCGGTCATGGATAACACCAGACTATTATCGACGACTTTCTTGCTGACCTCACTGTCCGCAAACATCAGCTGGCATGCTGTGTTGCAAGCTGATGTTATGGTGTCGTCGGAGTTTCCCAACTCTTTGGGGCTAGAGGAGAGGAGGCTGGTGATGTCAGGCAGGATCTGCTTTGCTGTAGACAAGACAAAGGAACCAGTCAAATCAATAAACATTCATGTATCTGTTGCCTGCGAAAAAACATCAACATGTCACGCTTTTCCTCACCCATGGAGGTCTGCAAACTGCTGGTCCGAGACATGTTACCCAGCAGAGACATGGCAGTCTTCTGCAGGCCCGGGTTGGAAGATTTTAAAAGGGGTCGAAGGTACATGAGAGCCCCCAGCTTTTGAACCATTAACTGACTCATGGAACTGGACCCCTGTAAGGGAAGCAAACAATGCAGAAAGATCAGTAATTTGTGATACAAAATGCAGCTGTCTTTGTAATTATTTGACATTTGCATGCATTTCACTTTCCCTTTCAGTCCTTATTGTGAGTTATACTCATTATTCCTTCCACATCTCCGTCCCTGTTGCTCTTCGCCTTGTTCAAATTAATCTGAGATAATCCTAAATGTCTGATAAAACCCAACACACAAATGGTAGTCCTAATCATTGATGTTTTTGTACTCACCGCTCCCTTTAAGGCAGTGAGGTTCTGCAGGGCCCCGCAGCAGGCCACCAGGGTGGCATCTTTCTGGGACGAGCCCAGCAGAGACATATAGGTCTGCATGGCTTTGGGGTGGCACAACCAGTTCACACCTGTCGGGTTGCTCTCCTCCGGCATCCCCCGTACCGCGTCAAGTGAAATCTGAGGAGAAAGGACGAGAAGGAGATGAGAAGGCTGCCTGGAATAAAGGCTGGTCATGATTTGACCAACACTCCTGAAGTGTAGGTTTGGCGGTTGTTGCCCACCTCCTTTTGGGCCTTGCTGCTCTTGGGGCTGAAGCATCCAATCGTGGAGCTTTTCCTCCCCGCAGGTTGGAACTTGCTGTAGCACCCAGGGGACTCTTCCTCCAGCTGGTAGGTCAAGTTATGGAGGATGCATGCACAGTTCTCCACAGACTAGAGGAGAGGAGATTATTAAGTTCATTGCATAGCAGATGTACGATATTTCCCAATCGAGTAAGAAAACATTGATCAAGGTCTTAAATGTCAGTTTGTCTTTTTATTTCAGTAAATTCAGTTAATTACGCTCGATGAAAAGTAAATTATTTTGATCTTCATTAAAAAGTAAGTAAACAACTCAAATGAAGACAATATATATATATATATATATATATATATATATATATATATATATATATATATATATATATATATATATATATATGACCATCAATGCATCAAGGCAAGTCTATTTATAAAGTATACAACATTTCAACTACAAGGGGAATTTAAAGTGAGTCACACGCATAAAGCGCAGCAACTAAATAACTTGAGGCTGACACGAGATAACTTCCCCCTCTGCTTCATTACAAGAAGTAAACAGAGAGCTACACACATAATTAGAACACAAACACATCCACACCCAAAATAAATTCAAATCAGAGCATCAGCTAAATGTATACACACGCCTGCAGTGTTTATGTGTACTTTTATTGTATTGTATTGTATTGTACGGATTAAGTATATGCTATGTAATGAGACTGAAATCACTTTGTAAGACACTTGTAGTTCTACAGGAGGGAACTAGAATACGGCACCAGACATGAATCCAAACAAAACTGGTCTTGCGTGCTCACATATCCATAATTCAGTGTTAGAGAGACAATGTGAAAAAGATGAAGGTGCTGGGTACTGGGCAGAGTGGAGAGATACACGTTCATCACTGCATCTGCGTGGCGAAACGAGGCCCAGGCTGCAACAGGGGGTGTAGGGCTAATGCTGGGCCCTTGGGCGCGTAAGGCTCTCCGTCAGGTTTATCATCACACCGATAGGATCCTTATTGCAGAGTTCTCAGGCAACCCAGTAACAACAGTCAGTCGTGTACTCACCCACCAACGTGGCACCATCTGAGGAGGTGGAGAAGTTCTATGAGGACCTTGCAACAGCAGTCCGAGATGTCCCAGCGCACAACTTCCTGGCAATCCTGGGTGACTTCAACGCAAGGCTTGGACCAGAGGACGCACCCTACCCATACCACAACTCTACCAACCGCAATGGCACATACCTCATGGCCCTTCTCATGGAACACGAGCTACTGGCAGTGAACACCATGTTCCGGAAAAGAACAGGCAAGAGATGGACCTTCCAAGATCGAGCCACAGGTATGCTACGTCAGTTGGACTACATACTTGTGAGGCAAAAGTGGAGGAACTCCATCTTGAATGCTGAACCGTAGAGCACGTTCAGCTCTGTGGGCTCTGATCCCTGCATGGTCTCCATGAGGGTGCGACTGAGCCTCAGGGTCCCCAAGCCAAGCCCCAAGATCCGGCATGACTGGAAGGCATTCATAACCGACCCTGGCCTTCAAACCAGGTATACGGAGGAGGTTAGTAAGCGCTTTCGGCAGCTGGATAAGGGAGCGGAGCCCATCAGCGAATACAGGAGATTCATTGTTGCAAATGAGGAGGCGACCAGGCTATGTGTGCCCATGCTGGACAGAGCCAGAACCTCCCTACGGTACAGACATCCGGAGGTCGTAGCAGCACAGGGTAGGGTGGAGGAAGCACGCCTCAACTTTGAGCGTGAACCAACCTTGGAGAGACGTGGGGTACTGAACGAAGCCAAACAGTTTATCTTCAGTGCCTACGACACCATCAAAGGGGAGGAACTGATGGAGAGTGTGCGAAGAGTGCAGGCAGCGCAAGGTGAAAGGCAATATGGGGAGGCCTGGAGGGTCATCAATGAGATGACTGGGCGGAAGAGGACTAAGGAGGGACAGGTTGAGGGACACAGCCCCGAGGAGAGGGTGACGACCTGGTTCAACCACTTCCAAAGCCTGCTGGGCACAATAGCGGATGGAGCTGAGGAAAGTATACCAGCTTTCCTCCAGAACCTGCCCATCGACGATGGTCCCTTCACAGCCAGTGAGCTTGCCAGGGCGCAGTCCACAGTGAGAGAGGTCAAAAGTGCTGGGCCGGATGGCATACCCCCGGAGGTCCTAAAGTACTGTGATCTCGATGACCTCGTCCTAGACTTTTGCAACCTCGCTCTACTGCACAACATGCAGCCTGATATATGGTCTCTCTCCAACATCATCCCGGTGCCTAAAGCTGGAGACCTCTCAAAGCCAGACAACTACCGAGGCATCAGCCTGACATGTATCACCGCAAAGGTTTACAACCGGATGATACTGAACAGGATACGGCACGCCATCGACCCTCACCTGAGGGAGAACCAGAATGGCTTTCGAGAGGGGAGAACCACCGCAGCCCAGATCTTGGCGCTAAGGAGAACGATCGAGGAGGTGAAAAAGGATAACCGGACTTCTGTACTGTGTTTTATCGCCTTCAAAAAAGGCATTTGACTCAATCCACAGAAGCACAATGGTGAAGATCCTTGAGGCCTACGGTGTCCCTCCCAATCTACTCCGGGCAATAGAGACCATGTGCGCAGGAACACGGGCCAGGGTGGTGACCCCAGATGGCAACAGCGAGGAGTTTGACATCCTGGCTGGGGTAATGCAAGGGGACACCCTGGCCCCCTTCCTCTTCATCATGGTCCTGGATTACGTGCTCAGGAAGGCCATCAATGGACGAGAGCAGGATCTTGGTTTCACTCTAACACCAAGGAGGTCGAGACGACATCCCACAGTAGTCCTGACAGACCTGGACTATGCGGACGACATCAGCCTGCTCTCCGACAGCATGGAGCAAGCACAGGAACTCCTGAACAGAGTGGAGTCAGAGTGTGCCAAGGTTGGCCTGAGGCTAAACGCCAAGAAAACTGAGGTTATTACCTATAACATCTTACCGGAACATCCACCTCTGACAACAACAGAAGGCACTGTGCTTAAAGAAGTCAAGGACCTCAAGTACCTGGGCTCATGGGTCAACTCAACCGAGCAAGATCTTAAGGTGAGGAAGGCACTTGCATGGAGGGCCCTGAACGGCACGACCAGTGTATGGAACTCCAACCTCCCCCGTCAAATCAAACTCAGCTTCTTCTATGCAACGGTAGAGTCTGTTCTCCTCTATGGCAGTGAATGCTGGACCCTGAAGCCAACCCTGCAAAAGTCTCTAGAAGGATGCTACACCAGAATGTTGCGAGCAGTATTTAACATCAGCAAGAGTGTACATTTAACCAACAACATCCTGTACGAGGGAATACCAAGGGTGAGCGAGAAAATTGCAGCCAGGAGAATGAGACTAGCAGGACATTGCCAAAGGCATCAAGAGCTGCCAGCCGGCAAATTGGTGCTGTGGGAACCAACACACGGGCATCGGTCACGAGGACGTCCCGCACAAACATACGTGGACGTACTCAAGAACGACGTAGGAGCACAAAGTACCAATGAACTGGCCAGATGTATGGAGAACCGGGATGACTGGAAGCGACGATGGAGGGCTCGTCTGAGGACGACCTAGAGAGGTACAAATGAGACAGCTGACCGACAGATGAGAATGATGAGAAAGTTTACCTTGTCATCAGGGTTGTCCTCCGCCACACAGGACTGGATGTAACTCATGAGGGAGTTGATTAGGCCGCTGCAATCTCTCATTGCCTCTCTGTCCTTCTTTTTGCCGGAGCTCAGGTTCCTAAACATATTTCAATCATTCATTTAAATCCAAAAGGAAACACCTACTCGTCTCAAATTAAATAACACAGAATTGTGAGTGCCTCAACTAAAGATGCAAAATATTCCATCAGCAAACAATATCCTACAAAAAAACTGGAAAAGTTTGGCACTTCCGTTTAAAAATGACTTAAACCATTTCATAACTAATTGATCAGCCATTGGCTTTGTGAAGCCTTGACAACGATGTTTGTGACATCAAAATGTTGCTCTATTTAATTAAACTTGTTGTGAACTACCTGATCTCTGCCCTGAAGGCATAACAATTTAACATCAGAGGCTCTGATTAATGAAGTGTTCTCACCGCAGGCACCCTGTGGCGCTGTAGAAGACATCAGGGTGGATGTTGTTGTTGGTGCTTTTGTCTGACCAGCAGGTGAAAGGTTCCACCACGTTCTCCGTCAGGGCGGGCAGCGCTGTAGCAATCAGCTCTTGCTTCAGGTCGTTGGCAGAGGACAGGTTCCAGAGCAGTCCTAAAAACGACAAGACAGGTAGAGTTACAACTAAGCTGCATCATGTTGCTGCCCTTATTATTTTTAAATCAATGTTTGTATCTGAAGTGGATGGTCAAAGAACCATTGTTAAAAGAAAGTTATGAAAGAGATTTGACCTTGGTGTGGTACTGGACAAGTATTGCTCCTGAAAATGTATATGGTACAAAAAGGAGGAAGCTCAATTGGTTTGGAGGTTGGGTAACTGTTGTTGCTTGGTGATCATACAGATCTATTTGTTCCTTCACTTATTAAATGAATATTGTTAAAGCTTTCATTTCATTTTCATTTAATAAAACATAGTTTACTGTATGACAGGGGTCATTTAAGGTGCTGTATACAAGACACAAATGTTACCAGCTCTGCAAGGGGTTTTAAAAAACGTGATTTAGGGATTTGATTTGCTTGAGGTGACACATTCCTCATCCACACAACCAGAGTAACACAAAGGAAACACAAAGTATCAGAACATAATCTTCATCAGCAACAACACCTCACCACACTCCCTAGACATGCCTCAACTCACTGTCAATAGGTCAGACAAACACAGAGCATGCATATTTTTACACACACACACACACACACACACACACACACACACACACACACACACAGCACCGTTTTTATTATGAAAAAAAAAGTGAATGCATATAAAACATCATCATTATCTAATAACTGTGATGGATTCAAGATTATTTAAGAAGAAGTAACTCAGATAAAACAGGAATGCACTATTAAAGGTCCCCTATTATACTGTTTTTCATTATAGTTCTGAGATAAAAAACATCTCTGAAGTGTTTGGCTCGAAATACCAAACAGATCGTGCATTGTAGCATCCCATAATCCCCTCTGTTTCAGCCCTGTTTCAAAAGTGCTGATTCTCTGTCTGTTACTTTAGATGAAAATAAGGAGCCCCTCCCCACGCCCCTCTGAGAGATATTTGGTTAAAAAGAACACAATGGTGCTCTAGGAGGAGATTCAGAAAAGGAGGAAGATCAATTGGTAGCTTTTATGTATGTGGTTTAACAAGCGTTATATGACATAAACTGTGTTAAACCTGTATTACAATCATATTTATTACTTGAATGATGTCCTCCTTATCTACTGAATAAGTGCAGAAATCATATCCATAATTGAAAACCAAGAACTGGCTATTTATTTAAAATATATATTTGACATGTTTATATGTATTTATTTTTTAATTAAAAAGGCACCAGAGGCATTCTTATATCTTGAGTTCCTGTCCCAATAAGTCCTACCAGTTATTTGTTTCTGGGTCTCAGTAGAGTCCGACTCCTTCAGCAGCTGCAGGGCCTTAGCGATCCCGCCACAGTGCTGAACCTCCAACTTGCTAGCCTGGTCTTTGAACACCAGGTTCCTCAGAGCGCCAGCAACAGCCTGGCTCACCCCAGGGTTGGCGCTCCGCAGCAGGGTCACAAGATCCGGGATACCTCCCATTTTGAAAACCTGGGACACAAAAATGTCACACAAAGGTATAAACAGAGAGCATGCACCAGTTGTATTACCATCATGAACCGTCATCCCACAGATGTCATGTGAGAATATACAACTTCCATGTGTGCAAACATGCAGGGTGTGTCACTGACCTCCTGTTTGGTGCTTTCCTCTTTGTAGGTGGTGTGTTGAATGAAGGTGGCTCCACATTGCTGGTAATTCTCATCTGAGTGAGACAGGAACTCTATTGCCTGCTTCAGGGTCATATCTGACATGTTCACCGAGCTGTTCACCCTGCAGAAATAGGCATAGAGTTGGAGATTCGATACACAAATAAGCTGATTGTTGCTCTTTTGTCATTTGAAACCTGGGAACATTTTATAACCCAGTATATGTTTTTATTTTTAAATGGACTGCACTTATATTGGATCCAAGCATAAAAACACGGCACATGGCAAAGTCTGCAGCCAAATCCAGCAACAAATGATGAATGGCCTGCTTTAATAACATAAATCAACTTTATTGAGAAACTGACCTGCAACAAACTATATGTATATGCTGATAAAATGTAAACGAGTCCATATACCACCCTGTACAAGAAACTTGTTGCCCATGTCAAGCCCCCTCTTATTGTCTGAAATTGTCAAGCAAGCCAGGTGAACTCACGCTGATATCTGCTCTATGTTGGACTTTTTGATGGTTCCCATCCTGCCGTCAGTCATAGAGTGCATGGAGGGCTGCTGGACCATGTGTATCTGGCTGTTCGTCATCTGGGGGTTACTGGTCATCTGGTAGATACTGTTCATCTGGTGGTTACTGGTCGTCTGGGGGTTACTGTTCATCTGGTGGTTACTGGTCGCCTGTTGGTTACTGCTCGTAGAGTAGACGCTTTGTCTATTGACTCGATTCTGCATGATGTTGTTCTGGACCGCCTGCCCTTTGGTTCTCTGAGAAAAGAGTGATATACAATGCTCATAAAGAACAGTATTGTGGAGTATTTCTGATATTTGTTTGAATAATCTATTCCCTAAAAAAAACATGACAATGGCAATTCAGTATCACTACATTTTCAAATAATAATGACTGATCACCATAACAGTTCCGCCTGTATGAGCAGCACCAAATGACCGAGCCAAGGCCGGGTCACTGCGAGCGGATCTCAGCCCATTGGGGGTCAGGGTCTGGGTGGCAAAGTTATTCTGTTCCCATCCACCTGAGCTGTAATGTTGTCCTTTGGAGGTTTTAGCAGATAGAGTGCGACTCTTTGTAGTATGTCCCTAAAAAAGAAAGTAATGTAAGTCAGTGGCTTTCACATAAAGCATTTCCTATTAAAATACTGTACTACACTACACTTAGATGGCAGTAACAATTCTCTGATTACTGTATCCCCTTAATGTTTTACTGTAGTAACAATCCATGTTGCAAAAAAAGGAAGAGATTAGACCAAACTCTACTCAAACAGTTTCCACAGTAGTCCCCTATAAACCAAGACAGAGGAATTTGACCTCACACAAAGCCTGCACACATTTCCTCTTCCTCGGTTCATGCTGAAGGCAACAGAGTGCACCACCAAACGGACAAGAGTAACGTAATATCTGTCATTGGACACCAACTCCGGCAGTTGTGTTAAAAGACTGCTGGCACATTTGAGCAGTTTCTCACAGAGAATCTTTGTGTGTTCAGGTAATACACAGCATGTCATTAAACCCTTTAATCTGACAATTATGCCTGGTTTATGGATCATTTTATTTTGACTTTTTTGCACTAGTGTGTATGTCCTTTTGTATGTGAAGGTGTGTGTCGAAAGCAGGTTTTCAAGTTTTGCCTCAAATTAGAGAGAAACTTGGCTCAGGAAGGGCAAAATGACAGAACAGGTCTAGCTAATTCTTTAAAGATGAGACTGTCTCTCCACTAAGCCTTGATCTCCTATTGGCTTAGTTGAAAAGGTACAATTCAAATCACAAATCTGCCAGGGAGGAAAATTCCCATCCGCCTTTGAACACACCAAACGTTAGTAAGGAAAGGAGTGTGCACCCATGAGCACCAAAAACTCATAAAAATCTTAGCTTACAAACTCTCAACTTCTGCAGCCGACATGTAGGCGTCTTAAATTGAACTGTGGCATTTATTAGGACGGTATATTTGCTAATGGGGAAGCAGGTAACATACACTTAGGTATATATAAATATATACAAACACACACACTGAAGACTGTATGTACCGGCTCTGTTTCCCCTTTTTAAAATTGGACTAGTTGCTTAGTTACTAGCCAGCCTCGCTACTAAGCAAGCTAAAAGCATGATGGAGGAGAGATGTGTCAACAACATGTTTGATAAGAACTGACCGTGTGTTTACTCTGAGAGTGCTGCATGCCCCTTCATTTGGCTACAGCCTTCCTCATATCAGAGGCCAGACTGGAGACTGATGCAAATTCAGCAGAGCAAATAGACGCAGCAGAGAAACAACAGCAGGAGCCATTTTATTTGTTATAATTCATAACTTCTGATGGATTTAAGCTTTTTTGCAATGCATAACATAACCGCCATATGTCAACCATCAAAGGTATTCTTGAATCAAGCTAGATCATTTTCAAATATGTTATCGAGAGTCATTTCCATCTAGTTATCCGACATCATTTCTGAGTAAGATTATCACAGAGTTAAGGTGATAAGTTATTCTATATATAAGAGTGGTAGGAGGTTGGGTAACTGTTGTTGTTTGGTGATCATTCAGATCTATTTGTTCCTTCACTTATTAAATGAATATTTATGTTGTTAAAGCTTTCATTTAATACAGCAGTGTTAAGACATAGTTTACTGTATGACAGGTGTCATTTAAGGTGCTGTATACAAGATAAGACAACAATGTTACCAGCTCTGCAAGGGGTTTTAAAACGTGATTTAGGGATTTGATTTGCTTGAGGTGACACATTCCTCATCCACACAACCAGAGTAACACAAAGGAAACACAAAGTATCAGAACATAATCTTCATCAGCAACAACACCTCACCACACTCCCTAGACATGCCTCAACTCACTGTCAATAGGTCAGACAAACACAGAGCATGCATTTTAACACACACACACACACACACACACACACACACACTCCACTGTAGAATTTGGAGTCTAGTAAAACTCAAAACAAACAAATATTTGTCCATATCCAAAATTAGAAAATCACACGTGCCTGACACATAAGGCAGTGTACTCCATTAAACTTTATTAATCAAGCTGCAAACCTGTGTGGTTTCACCATGAGCTCAACCAACATAACTACTGTATATTAAGGTTTCTTTAAAACAATGTCTTAAATCAACGGTCACAGATGAGGGCCTCCCATTCGGCAGGATTTGGTTTCTATGATCAAATAAAAACTTTCTTTTTTGAACAGTTGGATCAAGATATCGAGGTGTTTAGGTATCCAAGAGTTCACAGCACATGCACTGTTACTGCATGTTTTCACCGAAAAACCAGAACAGATTTTTCTATGGATTCAACAAACAGGTTATAACATGTTGATTTGAGAGCTTTAGAGGTGCGGGCAGGCTGCTTTTGTTGACAGAGTAACGCTAGCTTCTCAGTTTTCAGTTTTCGTTGACAGCAAACAGGTAATTATTCCTTTAAATTCTTATTTTTTTCTGTGCAATAAATACGTTGTTTCATATTATTGTTTTAAAAAGGTATGCTATCATAAAGCAGTGATTTAGTTATTCGTTTAATTAAAGAAGAATTTCGACAAACAGCACCGTTTTTTATTATGAGAAAAAATGCGGAATAAAACTTCATCATTATCTAATAACTGTGATGGATTCCTGCAAACATGTGTCATTTCATCCTAAAAGATGATTTAAGAAGAAGTAACACAAATAAAACAGTAATGTACAAGTAACAAGTAACATGTAATGAATGCACTATTAAAGGTCCCCTATTATACTGTTTTTTATCAATATATTGCGCTAACAAAATAAATCTATTATTATTATTATAATATTGTAGGTCTCAGATAAAAAACATGTCTCTGAAGTGTTTGGCTCCAAATACTAAACAGATCATGCATTGTAGCATCCCATAAACCCCTCTGTTTGAAAAGTGCTGATTCTGTGTCTGTTACTTTAGATGAAAATAAGGAGCCCCTCCCCACGCCCCTCTGAGAGAGATTTGGTTAAAAAAAACACAATGGTGCTCTAGGAGGAGATTCAGGTGATAAGGTGGGGGGGGGTGGGGTGATAAAACGTTATCACATCATAAAGTGGTCAAAATCTGATCGGCTCATTTTCAGATAGGTTTTTATATAAATGGATCAGGACAAAAAGAGAGGGGGTCTTTCTTCCTGAAACTTTCAGAATCTCTTTACACAGAGGGGACACATGTTTATGTATAAAAGACATGAACAAGTGGATTTTGCATAATAGGTGACCTTTAAGTATCTTTGATAACAGTAGCTAAAACTACCATTGTTGTCGTTTAATGTTATGTCTGTGAAAAGTAAAAGGGTATTAGCGCTGACAAACACTAAAACAACAGCGCACTTACCACTTTGGTGTAGCCTGTTGACTGACTGGAGTTGGCGCGACTGAAGAACGCATTTGCTTTGGACGGAGAAAACTTGAAGGTTCCAAACTCACATGTTGACATATTCTGCGGTAATGGGCCTGTTAACAGAAGAGACATATGGAAACTGAAATGAACAACAACTCACAATACCATGCAGTCAAGCTCAAAACAAAGTCCTTTACTTAATTGATCCCATGGAGGGAACTCTGCACAGTCAGAATGACATATAAACCCACACTCAAATGTATTTAAAGGTTTACATTAGAACACAAAAAGATGCCCCAAATGAGCCAATCAGAATCAGGTTAGCTCTCTGCCCCCCTTTGGGCGATGAAATCTGGCGCTGCCCACCCATATTAACATAATGGAAAGACAGTCTCCTTCATAAACTACAGGATCCTAAACTGATAAAGTAGGAAAACACTAAACATCCCATAATAGATAGACCTCTTCAACATTGAAAACCGTACTGCCTCCATTACCCGTCAGTTTCAAGAAGCTCAAAAGCAAATCCTCAATGCATTACTTTTGGCATAAAATACACAACACTTAAATTATTTTCTTTATTTCTCCTAATGCAGTTCTTTTGTTTAACTCCGTGAATTATGTTTTTATTATTGAATTATTAAATATTTTTCAAGATTGTCATAAGGTTTCTGTATAACCTCTGATTAAATACTTGTCTGAAATGAATAACAATTTGAACTTTAATGATATTAGCTTGCCAATCGCTCTGTCGTTTTTCAGATCATCATCCAAAACAAATTTGTTTCCAATTTGCATGACTGGCAATCTACAATCACATCACATCATATGATGACAGACCTGTCATCATAATGTCATTCACAGTCTTCGAGTAAACTTAATCCAGCCACAGAGCCAACGTGTGCTGGCACCTCAGCCCGTCTGTCTCGTTGGGTGATTCATAAAAACGCAATGTTTGCACATTGTCCCAAAATGTAAGGCTGTGTCTTCACCACACCATTACAGGATTATGATTGTCAAAACAACGGCATATGAATCACCGTTATCATACATGAGGTCTATGCAGCGAACACAACGTGACTAAATACCTGTCATACATTTTAGAATCTCTTTAAAGGGCCAGTTACTGAAAAAATAAAATATATTTGATTCCTTAGCCGACACTATTACTATCTAGCCTTGCATTTTTTTCTACATTTTCTGAGTTTCACAAGAGGATGCAGAGGCACCAATACCGATACTCAAAGAGTGGACAATGAGTTCCAATCTCTTACAGTGCAATATTATGTCAATTATACTATGTACATTATACAGTAAAGAATCATTTTAATTCATGTTAATTCAAGTTATTGACTAATGTGTTGCCACGTCAACAAGTGTTACACTCCAATGATATCACCTGTTAATTTAGTAAATTTTTTAAATTTATTTTGTACAATTTAGCTTATGTGTTTTAACGCAACACTTTCTTTCTTCTACCTTTAAATCTTTGATCACTATGAACACAACTTCTTGTTAGTATTATGCAGGGATTGCAGCAGAAATATCTAATAATATCTTGGCTGCAAACGGGAATGTCCCCGGTCCAGAGGGTCCAACTGTCTCATTACCTCTATATGTGAACCATTAACACTGCTTAGCTTAATCTATGAACAGGTTGGTGGAATAGGAATATTAAGAGCAGCCTCAGGCGTATGTGCAAGACTAACCTTGTGGTTGTTTTCATTAATATTCTGAGTTTGACTATCCTTCTGTTGTGTGTAATGTCGAAATTCGCTCACAGCAAAGTCTTTTCTTGTCAGATCTTGAGGTTACTTTACACCTCGCTCTCTTTTTAGTAGGGATGCACCGAATATTCGGCCACCGAAAATTATCGGCCGAAAATGGTTAAAAAGGCCCTTTCGGCTTTCGGCCGAAAGGGTTTTAGCACCGAAAAAATATCACCGAATGTCAGAACAGGCTTACGTTGGTAACCTAACGTGTTGTTATGACGTAATAAAGACCCGGCGACCATGCTCGCGGCTGGCTCACAGGGGGGGGAACATTGACCGTTGTCATCGAGATTGCCCTGAGCCTTTAACATGCTAAACTCTTATTGCACTTATGGTAACAAGTATTCTCCACATCGAGACAGGTAAAGTTTAACCACACCTCGAAGCGCGTTCTCTCCGCCATCTCCGCAGTGTGCTCCGCTGCATGTAGCAGCTGCGTGTGTGTAAACTGCCCCGCCCCCTCGCACACAGACGGGGGAGAGAGATCTCGTCTGATCGAAAATACATCATAGACGCATTTGTTGTCTTTGCATATTAGAAACGAGTTGGCGACACTAAGACTGCGATATAATGTTTTTTAGCAATAATACATGACATATATAAATGTACTGTATGCATTCAAAAGTGCTGAATAAATGTTTTATGGACCCATAATAGTGATTATTATTTAAGTTAAGTTTTGCCATAATCATGTCTATTTCCATAATTAGGTAGCTGAACAACATTGGTAAAAAATGTATACATTATATATATATATTTCTATTAATCATTTTCGGCCTTTCGGCATTCGGTTTTCGGCCAACTGTTTCCTATTTTCGGTATCGGTTTCGGCCAAGAATTTCCCATTCGGTGCACCCTTACTTTTTAGACAACTTCATAACTCCTAAATTATGCTATAACACAAAAGACAGAATCACAAACTTGAAGGGACAAATAAATATGTTGTTAATTTTGCTATTCTGTATGTGGACACATTTGGATAAAGCCTATTATTAAAAAGGTGCAAGCTTTCAAATGGTACTTTTTATGAACCAATATTGCCTGGTTTGGATGTATGCGTTCATAATGGCTACATTTTTCATTTAATCTTAAATCAGTGATTGTAATTACAATCTTTAAATTGAATAAAAGGCCCATTTTAAAACAGGTCAGAAATATTCTTATCACGCGAGCCACACACTTGAATGCATTGAATGTGTCAATAAAACAGTAAAATAGCACAGTATGAAGTTTTTGTTGTTTATCTCTCTCTCTCTCAATTTTGGTGGTACTTTATAATGCCTGTTGAAGTAAAAGCCAAATACCAGAGTGGTTTTGAAAGACTAAAATATAATTTCATACACATGTGTTTGGGCTGTGTGTGGCTAAACCCCATGGGCTGTATACAGAAACCTCTGTGGCAAGCTCATGTACAGTAGGGATAGGATCATGAGACTATGACTCTTCCCAGAGCTTACACTAACAAAACACTTTAGTTTAATAGCAGCTAACCATTGGTCATATTTCACACGCTGATGCTATGTTCATGGCGTTACCAACACACCTCCGATATAGATACTGTCACTAAACACCCCCTCAACATGTTCAACACAACTATTTCTCTCGCAGTTAATTACAATTAGCTTACTAGTTAACTTTAAGCAGCAGCAATGTTTTCCACACTTAAAATCTACAAAGAGAACCACGAGCGGTCTGTTTTCCTCACATAGTTGACCAAAAACACAGCACAGGAAAATAGCACGTTCAATCTGTCTGCAGGAGGTCACTGAGGGGAAAGTTGTGTGACGCATAATTGCCAGGAACCACAAAAAACCGATTTAATTTTAGCAAACAAGCGCAAAAATGATATGCCTATAAGGATGCCTAAATAAAACCTCACTGTCCAAATTAAGAGGTTAGAACATCATGCACTATGAGGAGATATTCTTAATGTGATGTTAATGTGTAAAGTTTGTTTTCCATACTTAGAGCTGGGGGGGACAATGTGCCGTTCTTCCCAGGTTTTGACTTGCTTCTCTTGATGGTGTGCACTTGATCCAGCACGCGCTGCTGTCCTGAGTGCAGCTTGGTGTCGGAAGGCACAGCGAGAGAAGTGTCCTCCACGCCTCGGATATTCATAGCTGAGCGCAGCGGTTCCGGAGCCATCATTTTCCCAGCTCGGTGCCCTTCTCAAGAACAGTTCGGTTGAAAATAAGTTTCCAAATAAAGTGCAGACCCGAAGGAAAAAACGCAGATCGCCTCAGCGTGAGCAGAGCAGCGGACACGGTCAAGTCTGGAGGTTGGCAAAGTGTTCAGAGATCAGCCAGCCGCGGTGGACTCCACCCTCGGGACCGCGCCCTGTCGAGGTGGGACCAGAGGGAGTTCTCTCCAGGAGCCACTGGTGGGCGGGGCCGTGTGCAATATCTGCACACCTGAGCTGATTAGCATAAACAGCCTGCTCTTTAATAAGTAGCCTAGGCCTACGTGTTTTTTCTCTCTGTTAACGCTTCAAGAAATGTTCAAAGTTCATAAGTAGTGTTGGAATGAAGCCTGATACATTAAGGCATCTCAAGCATAGGATCTCAAGCCAAACCATAACTTATAATATATATATTTTAGGGTCATATACTTGAATATACAGTATGAGCTTATACAATATAAAAAAGGGCTAAACCTTGACCAAGTAAGCTATATTAAATGCATGAGTAATGGAAATGATAGAGTATTATCTGACTCCTCAGATCTACACTTGCACTCAATAATAATTCATATGATTCATAATTAGGAATAAGGCATTGCTGCAAAAATATATTGTACATGTCATACATATGTATCCACACTTTAGGAAAGGGTTAAGTTGTCAGGGTTTGTTAATATTCATAACAAAATGTATTACGGCGTTATAGATAAATTGTGCCAAATTGTGCAATATCAATTTGACTGGAATATTCTCTTAAAGGCAGAATATATCATAAGTACTTTATGCATACACTTTTTTGCCAATAATACACAGTGTTAACTTTTGAATGCAAGATTTTTATTGTAATATTTTTGATGACTTTTTAAATAAATGAAGTAATAACACAAATTACCATACAAAATACTAGCATAATCATCGGTTCTTGTTCCATTTTACAACGGTATATCCACCTAACACCTTCGCTGACTTATTCGGTAAAATCTGAGTAAAATCATTTTGATGTTGCTTTGGATAAAAGCTAAATGCAATGTAATGTAATGAATGATGTTGTTACAAGCAGGGCATGGCAAACTACTTTTTTTTCTCCATTAATTTTGTAACTTCATTTCCATTTAAAACGCCTCCATGGAATCCATCCATTGCTCCTTATGTCGGTTGACTCCACATAAGTCAGCTGGCATAAGGCTGCTTTTGGATAAATGTTTTTTTGTATTCAAAGGTAAAGACATCATCATGATTTTAACTTTACTAAAATGGAGTGCTTTACTAAACTTTACACAAATTGATTAATCTCTCTCTCTCTCTCTCCCACACTATAATTATGTCCTTATTAATCATCTTTACAAACTAAATTGATCAACCTGTGTGAGGTAAACTGCTGGTTTTTTTTACCTCAACAGCTTCTTGGCTAAACTCCCGATGCCCTGCTATTTTCTTTTATGCAAATGTTCAATGTCAGATGTGATGTCAGGGCAGGAACCAACGTATCTCAGTTTGAGAATAGCAGAGCCAGTTAGAAGAGAGAAAAGAAAGAAGGAGACGACACATCAAGCACATGCTTTCTGCTTAACCGGAATGTTTTGGCTACGTTTCTGCAGGTTAGGTTATACTTTCCCACCACACCCTTCTCCTTAAACCTGCCAAGGTAACACATATCATGTGTGCGTAATATATCTCTGAAGTGTGTGTATTAATGACAAGGAAAAACTACTAGGTGCATATGAAGTCTATATTTCTACCATAATTGTATCTGATAGAGAGAGGAACATGAGTCAAACATTAGTTGTATGGTCAGATAGTGTGAAATTCCTTAGATCAGGTAGGATTATCGGATCATGACATGGCAGTCTAGTTAAACTGACCAAACCCATGTAGTTTTAAAGCCAGATTTATTCGATTTTAAAGTAACTTAGTAACTAAACCACTATCAGTGCTCCATCATGGCTCAATAATTTAAGTTGAAATACAACACGAGCAACCTGTGAACTATCTCAGCTATATTCTTGTACTGCTGCAATGTTGGCATGTGGCCAGCAAGTACCACACCCTGCCTAAGGGCTTTCTTTGTGTTTGTGTGTGTGTGTCCGTCCTACTGACAGTGAGTTGAGGCATGTCTAGGGAGTGTGGTGAGGTGTTGTTGCTGATGAAGGCTCATTATTAGTGCATTACACTGCCTGTAGTTTTTGCAGGACGCCGTAGGTTATGTGAGCCTTTCCAGACGGATAACGTTCTGACTAATGTCTGCGGCCAGAGGAGTTTAAGGAATACTGGAAGTAAGCAGGTGTACATGCCGTCATGCCCTTTGACAACGGCTACAGAACATCTGGATGAAGCAAAAATTTGTCTAAAGATTTACAACTTGGTTTTTGTCTTCTGTTGGCCCCTATTGAATACATTAAAAAGACTGGATCACGATGCAGATGCCAGTTGATCTTAACGAATCCATTCACACCTGCAACATGGATTAACATAAAATAAGATAGAACTTTGATTCCAATTTGGGAATTTTTTGTGTTGCAGCAGCACAAAAAGATATGGCATTGTACAATAAAAATTAAAGGACAAGAAATAACATGAATAACTATCCAATCACTTTTATCTTTAGGGCAATTAAACATTTTATTTTTTTGTTAAATTCTAATAGAATTTTTTAGTACTAAGTTTTGTTTTGTGTGTTTCTTGGAAAGTATTTACTAATCAAAAATAAAGGTTACATAGACTGTGAAATACTCTTATCACCTACACCTACTTGTCTATGTATGCCTTGGATAGTTGCCATCTCATAGTCAACAGAACCGGCTGCTTTGAATGTGTGTGATTGTTAGTGTTCCTGAGTTGATGGCATCTTGTATGGCAGTCTCTGCGTCTTTGTGAATGATAGTAAATGGGTGGATGCTGACGGAAAAGTGCTATATAAATGCAGTTCATTTACAGATAGCAAAAGCTGTGTAGATAAATATCAACCTTTGCCCTAAATAAGCTGTATTATGACACGGATGTATCTTTCATTTCAGTGGTGCACATACAAGCAGCATAATTTCCCATTGCCAATATGAATACTTTTCTCGCATTTTTTTTTTAACATTAAGGAATCATTATTACAATTAATGGCACTGTTTGTTTCTATCACACCAATATCTCAACACATGTGATAATTAATACAAATAAGATTATGTTTCCATGAAGAGGAGACACTTTTTGTCACACACAAATGCCAAGTCTGTATAACTGAGGTGACAGCCCCATCTAGCAGACTGAATGAGAAATGCAACCTATGTCATGACATTTTCAGTGTGTAACACAAGGGGGGGTGATTAATCAGGTGACATACGTTGTTAAAACTGTTCAAGTGGCTAGAACATAAAAAAGATAATTGAAATTGCTGTAGATATAGGAATACAATACACAGTAGACATTATGACTAGTACAAAAACTACAGATGAGGACACTGAAACTAAAGCAAATAAATAGGCCTGTGCAGTATATGGGATTTCACTTAATTAGGGATTGACATTTAAATATTTATTAATTAATTCCTTTCCCATGCAGCCAAGTGTTAGTATAAAAACTCTAAATGATACACGATTTTGCAAACACCATGTGATTTTATTGGTACAGCATGAAGGCACAGATTTCATTCACTGAGCAGAATTGACCAAAGGAGTGATGAGGCACAGCCAACCAGAGTACAGTGATAGGAAAAATAAAAGAATAAACATTTTTAGCTGACCAGAAAGTGAATTTGGTTATTTAAAACTGAACCAGTCGGCTTTTACTTTCATGGTCGAGACAAATCGTTGTCACTTTTCACATGGTTAAAGATAATCCTGCCTGGGAAGGGCATAATAGAGTCAAAAAACACTTACTATATAAAAAAGGCTGGTAGCAACTTGTACCAGAAACCAAAAAATATTACATTGAACAAAAGAGAAATAAAAGCAATGAAAGCTGGATAATTTGTTAGTGTTATCAGACAAAAATCTACCCCAGTGCACTGTGGGTGACCGTAGTGTGGTCTGTACCATACATCATTTTGCATACATCCAAAACAACCCATCATTTCTGATGCTTAGAGTAACACTTCTAGCCGTGCTGGTAAAATACAAAAAAAGATAGTTCATCTTTACAAAAACGAGTCTATTTACCTTGTTTTGGTTTATAAACAGTACCATTACAAGTGTAGTGTACACGTCCTATACATCAGTGCTCCTCAGGTTAAGGCGTTATGAACCAAAGCACATTCTTATCCCAACTCACGTGGAGGTAGAAATACTGCAGCGAGCCCACACAGTCAGAATTAAAACTGGATTTTGTTAATGAACAGTAAAAGATCATTTCTTTCTTTCAAAATGCTGCTGACACTAAAGTGTGAACTGAATATTAAACTAGCTGTGAACTATTTTGATTCCAAAGACAGGTGAGCCTAACTTAAACACTTAAAAGGATGGCTCTCTTTACACATTAAAACGTGTTTCAAATATAAATAGGACATTTACGTCTAGACATGTAGTGAATTGCATTCTGGGAAGAGGCAGACTTATATTTCCTGCTACATTTCCCTTAGAGTTTTGATTAAACCAAGTGGAGTATAATAATGATTCTCCACACAAAGCAATGATAGAGGATACCCCAATTAAGGCTCTTTTCATTCCATACAGAGATACTAAACTGCAGAAGGAAAAGTCATTGTGGAATAGTAACATTAACACTGATTAAATGATTTGATTGCCAATCTATATTCAAACTGGTCTCACATCAGTCACACCTATGCCGTAAATACATATGCCAGGAAAAGAGAATATACATTTTAAATGCACCACAGCTACATTGCCCTTATAATGGATATGAAAATAGAATACCCTATATTAAACTTGTTTTATAGCATTTAGCTCTTATGTGTCTTTTCCTTTGCTTGTCAGTGGATACAATAAAAAAAGACGACCACCTTTAATGCACCTTGATACATTGAGATGTGCTCAATCAGTTTCTCCAGGTGAGAGGTTAATGTGACTAAATCATTTCATGGATTACATCACAACACTTAGTGATAATTACTCTGGATTTTTGTAGAAATCTATAATAAAATAACTTCACTTTAGTGTTTAAGTCATGGGCTGTTTAAAAAAAGGGTGCATAGTTTGCAGTGATGGAAAAGC